TACCCCCAGCTCACGAACGAAGAAACAGACGTCCTTCTCCGAATGTTCATCCAAGACGGCAAAATTGGCCGTGCAGATGCTCGGAAGTGGAAAGGACGCCTATATGACCTAACTAGAGCCATCTATAAGTCGCGTCGATCACTGGTGGGTGTCATTGAACACCGTATCACGACGGCACAAGTGACGATGCAACCAATGGCGAATATCTGGGCCCAAAGAGCAGACCGGAACACTCCTGCTGAGGGAGACCACGATGTAGACATGAATGACGATCCCACATCGCTATTTCGATTTCAGAAGACGGTATACTCTGCCGACGACATACCTTTACTAAGACGACTATGTGAAACTACATTTGGGTTCCCGACTCAATTGCGCAAGCCCACAGCTGCTGTAACGAAAGTTATCCAGGGACTGGTTAAAAGAACGATTCTATGCTCGAAGCTCCCAGACTTCCTGAAACGCATTTGTAGCAATGAAGCACTTCGAAATATCCAAAATACAATCCACGCACAGGTCGAGGGAGATCTGATCATTAAGTTGCAGGCCGACTTTCCAGTCTACCCCGACTTTCAGACCAGGGCTCGCCTAATGGGAATGGTCACGATGGGCCTAGAACATGGACGACATGACAAGAAGAAAGTCGTAACGCTCCTTCAGGAGGCTAAGCAAGTCTATTATGACCGAAATGTTCACGCAGTGCACATCATTTTTTGGACGCGCGAGCTTGCCGCTAAATGGAGTCGAGAAGTACGATCATTACCTTTCCGTAACCGAACTTTTCCGCTAGTCAACGAGCACCCTGAAGATACCGAGGAGGACCCGAGGGGGCAACCAGGACTCACTGGTATCTGGAAACGTCAAGTTGGAGCTGATGGAGTGAAGAATGAGAATCCAAGGGACCGATACCACGTACGACTGCTCAATGTATCGCGCTGTATGGACGAGGCCGCTATAGATGCTTACATCAGGCAGAATTTCTCGGGAACATACACAACGTGGCAGGAACCTCCAAACGGAAGCCTATCGCTGCAAACCGATACCTGGGATATATTCTTCCGATGGCCAGGCTGCCTGAGTTAGACTATTTATCAACTGGGACGGAGTAAAACTACTCGTCCATCACGTTAGCATCAAAGCCTCATACCCATGCTTTCAGTGTGGAGCCAATGGGCACAACCGCAACAGATGCAATCTACTCGACGACCAGTGGAAACAGGAAAGCGTATGTGTGACTGTCACAGCTGATGACATTGCACAGCTGCCGCGCAGAGACTCCACTATAACTAGCCTAGCTGAACTCGATCAACTATGGCAGGAGGAGGAAGCACCTGAAAGGTTTATGCAAGAGTCAGCAAGGAGCAGAACATCCAGTGCAACCAATACGCTATCTGTATCGAGGTCTTCTGAAACTCCAAGCAGCCCAGAACCCGGAAACGACCACACGCAATGGCAAACGGTGTCGCAAAGCCGGAGGACGACGACTGCATCGGAGACTAAGGTTGAGCAGCTCGCAACTAGCTCGAGGACAACAACTCCACGAGCAATTGTCCGCCGGAACAAGCCCAATGTGAGTGTCCAGCAACAGCTACCGAACCGGTTTCAATCACTCGATACTACGGAGACGGAAGAGATAGTTGTACCCTGCGAGGGTAACTCGATAGCGGAGGAAATCCGCGGCAAGTTCGGAGTCAAATCGCAACAAATGGAAAAGGCTGAGATGCTCATTACGACGCAAGTGAAAGAGAAACGATCCCCATACTCTAACACCGTAATCAGTGTAATCAAAGCATCGACCCCGCAAGCCTGACGACGAGGCAATGCACGGGTGACCAACTCTTGCAACAATGCGGACTCGAAGAGATTGAAGCACCTCCTAATGGCAATTGCCAGTACTACAGTGTAGCAATGGCACTTCTGCAACGTAATTGCAAGGAGCTTGGGGAGGAGAGAAACTGCTTGAAACCCTCAGGAGTAAACTGAAAAAAAGCATCGCGGCGGCCGCAAACCATTTTTTTGAAGAGGAATTTCCACAACCGAGCGAATGAAGATCCTTCAAGCTCAATATGGAGGGGAAAAAAAATCACGCCAAAGCAATCTGAGGAAGCCCTCAGCCGCCACTTCAAAGACATTGGGAGCTCCAAATCGAACAGAGACGGATATATAGAACGGCGCAGTTGGGGATCCACAACAACTCTACGTATGCTGGCAAAAATTCTTCAGCGAGACATTCACGTGGTCGAGGCAAGCGCAGGTCTAACTAAGCCATGTTTTTCCATGTACACGGCGGGAGAACGCGTATGCAACGGGAAAACATTCACCACGGTGAAAGAAAGGGTTTTCATACCTAAGGATACTGTCAAGTGGGTGACTAGACTACAAGAGGATTGCATCAACGGATCCAAAGAAGCAGGGCTCCCAATAGTACTGATTATTCGAAGCAACCATTACAATTGGCTTCGTTTCTCGCCGAGAGATGTCATTGATCCGCCCAAACCAGTCGAGACTGCTAAACCCAGGGAGCCCGAAGCTGAATCCTCAATGGACTATGCTGAAGACTTCCCTATGGGTGAACCAGAGGAGAATCTCTCGCAAAACGTCCAGCTAGTACTCAAATCGGAAACGGCTCAATCACAGGCGGAACTCACTGAACGGGAAGAAATTGAGAGAGTAGGTGGTGACCGTAAAGCGGAATTGACGGTATTCTTGACATCTGGAGTAGATGACATTGTTCCCGCCCATCGGCAAGCTCTCCGAAACCTAGACATGAACAATTCCACTGAGGTGATGCAGTGATGTCTCCAATATGATATTACCCGAGAGGTACTTCAGGCCTGGCAAGGCGAAGTGCTCAACCGTGACTCTCAGGAAACTTTCACGCCATCGGACCCGTCGACAACGCCAGCAAGCGGCTCCCAATGGTCAGCTGACATTTCGTCAGAGGAACAGCAAGTACCAGCAGCCCAAAACTCTGCAAACGTACACGAGGAGTTCACGGGTGTGGGGCGCTTTAACGGAGAGGGAGACAGCACCACTACCACGAGGCTTCATATGAAGCAACTGCGTGCTCAGTGGAACAAATTGAGGCCGGAATGGGAACCACACACGGAGGAGCCTTTCCCAACAGTGCCAGCCACTGCACTCAAATGGAAAGAAACCATCCAAGCTGCGCCCAATATTCTCATAACAATGTTACAACAGTACTCGTCACCGGAATTCATATTGGGCGACATGACGGAAGCTCATATGAACAGGTGGACTAAGAACGAACGACTGGAAGGTCTATTACACAGCCTTAACCATTTCGCAGGTCAGCAGCAGACCAACGACCCGGTCACTGCTGACTGGATCCGAGCATGCATCCGAGATTTTGAACTTCAGGCAGCGAACAACAGAGGTCCTCAACCTATACCCGACGGTGACGTGGTCCCGGCTGAAACAGCTTGATTAGGGTCAATCACAACTCCTTAGGCTCTGCAGGAAAACAGAAAGTAAATCCCTGACCCGTATGATCCTGATGGCCACGATTTACACTGCCGAAATACAAGTCATTGTCCAGGCTGATCACCTACCAGCTCCAACAACGACAATGGGGAAAATAACTTTGCTTTTCGAAATGCTAGAGCAACGGCCTAATCTTCATGCTCTACTATGTAGGGCACACTCTACTGGACTTTGGGCACAGCTCGAAGCAACGCTTGCGGGAATCGACTCAACGGAAATTACGCAAATGGACCATTACGAGGGCTCGAACTCACCAGAATACTAATATAGTCAGAGTAAAAGTCCCACAGAGCTCGACTCCAACTGGAGATTATTACAGTGACCTATTCAATATTGCTCAAATGTTTGCAACAACACCAGACTGTCCAAGACGATCCGGGTTCAGCAAACAGACAAAAACATTTGCATCACAAAATCTACGAGGCTTTACAACTAAAGCAAGACGTCACTGGATGAGCGGATGGCGACGACGCAAAGGCAGCAAAACCCCAGATATTATATTTGTTCAAGATACTCAATTACATACAGATGATGACATCCAGGAGCAGAAATCCCAGTGGGATCGAGCCTGGAAACGGAAAAATCCCACTATACCGCTGAGTTACTGGACTAGCACGACGTCGAAATCGGCTGGATTGGGCATCCTGGTATCCCCAGAATTTAGTGGTAAAATTAAACCTTGGCAACAAAGTAGCTGGACGTCTCGTGATGGCGGTAGAGATGGACAAATGGCTACTACTAAACATCTACGCACCGACAGACAGAACGGAACGAGAGCAATTTTTCACCGATCTGGAACCGTGGCTCTCCAAACATGTATCAATTATCATCGGAGGAGACTTCAATTGTGTTCTTAATCCAGCGCAGGACCGCAGAACACACAAGAAAGCAAGTAAGGGTCCCTCCGAAAGTCCAGTGCTTGGGAAAATGCTGCGCAAATACGACTTCACTGATGCAATTGCGTTTACAAGACATTTAGACGAAGACGAAACTGAGTTCGACCCATTGAAATATTTTACATTCTGGAGTAAATCCGGGGCCAGCAGAATTGATCGATACTACGTGAAAGGGGAGCCGTATACTCAAGTCCAATGGGTAGATGTAAGCGCTGCCGCATGGGACTCTGATCACCGGGAAGTACGACTGGAGTTGTCTTTAGGACAGGGTTCATCACACCACGGAAGTACGCCCAAATACTATCCTATTGCAAGTGGTCGACCACAACGAATCCAAGAAGCTATTGCATCCGGGATCACGCAGTTAATGGACACGTTTGAAGCCAGTGAAAACCCGATCAAAGAATGGGACAACCTGGTCGTAAGCGTACAACGGCTACTCCGTCAAGTAAAAAAGGATGACCAGCGCCAAGCCAAAAGGTACTTTGATAGTATACGAACTGCGACTAAGACAGTGTATGAATCACGGATGGAAAAAAATAAAACAAATGTTATCCGCCAATTGTACACCTTTAAATAATTTAATTGTTCAACCTTTTTTAAATTTTACAGTTGGTTAGAGTAAAAGACTGAAAATCTTTGTGTCGGTGGTTCAAATCCATGAAATTTAATGAAAATTATTTTCATCATCTTAATAATGATGGTAGGATTTGAACCTACAACATTAGGATTATGATTCCCACGCTCGTGCGGTTTTAATACATTTAATTTTATTACATGATATAAAAATTTAAATTTAAAAAAATATAAATAAAAAGCACTAAATAAACCACAAAAACTTAAAATAACACCAACTAAAATTTTTAATACCTGTAGGTACGGCAATAATCATAATAGCCGCCAAAAAATACGCACGAGTATCAACATCTAATAAATAAAATACAAAGTGTTATACTATTAATTAGTTTTCAACGTGCTAACGGTAAAAATAATCAAGGTAAATCAAAAGGATGTCGATTTGTTTCTGCTAAATCAACTCCGCGGAACCGGTGGAGGCACAGAAGACTGCCGCCCGCTCATTTGGAAGGAACCTCCAGCCCTCATCCGAGAACACGCGACTTTTCTTGCAGCGAAATGCAGACAGACAACGCAATCAATCAAATTACGGCTATTGAACCCTCAGCAGGCCACTTCTACGCAGATGATTACCCAATAGAGGAAAGAATGGCGTCGGAGTGGAACCATATCCTTGGAGCTTCGCACGCCACGACACCCTCGGGCAAAATGGACGAGCACTTTCAGGAGTTTGTACAAATACCCGACAACCAACAGCTCTTGGGAAAAGAAGCTGAAGAATTGGTAGCTCCAATCCACGAAAGGCGAGACCAGAGCTGCTATAGATAAACTGAAACGACATAAAAGTGGTGGGACAACAGGACTCAACCATGATTTCTACAAAGACTTCAAAGATGAACTATCTCCCGGGCTTACCAAGCTATTCAACGCAATACTTGACGGAAAAGGAGTCCCTGAATCGTCCCTTCAAGCGACCATCGTTCCACTGCGGAAAAATGGAGACTCGACTGATGCCATGGATTACGGACCAATAGCACTGCTCAACACGGCGTACAAAATTTTCGGCCGAATTTTAGCAGAACGAGTACATGGAGTCATGCCCAAACTGATCAGCGAATCTCAACACGGGTTTGTGCGAAGTAGATCTATTGACAAGGCAGCTATAATTCTCCGAACAGCAACTGAGCAAAGCAAAGACAACCCATCAGAAGACTGGGAAGGTGGCCCCGCAGTAATGTGCATAGACATCAGAAAAGCCTATGATACTCTGGACCGATACTTTCTCCAACTCGTGCTACGTGAATACGGATTCTCTTCCAAATTTATTAACGTGATTCGATTGCTGCACGATGGTACAACTGCCCGATTCCTGGTTAATGGTCAAACTTCCCAAGACTGGGAGATTAAATCCGGGATACGCCAGGGCTGCCCACTAGCGCCTCTCATTTTTAACCTAGCCATCGACACCCTTGCTCAAGCCATTAATCGCAATTCAAATTTGAAAGGGATTCTGATTCCTGGACCCCGACGATTCCACCACAAGTTTACCGGATTTGTTGATGACAGCACAATTTTCCTGGATTCGCTTCGAGAAATTGACACTGTTAAGATTACCCTGGATTCTTTGGTGATCTATCTGGTCTTTGCGTACAACCTCAGAAAAGCATACTCATAGGACTAAACACAAGAAACCCACCAAAGAAATGGAACGGATACCCGGTGCTACAACCCCATGAAACCACGAGACAACTCGGGTACTGGGTAGGTAACAGGGAACAGGGATTGTACCAATGAGAGCTGGAGAATTCGAATCGAAAACATACGAAGAAGACTCAGAATCGCAACTACAATGAGCAACTCTGTCGTACAAAGGATTCAACTCTTCAATGCAGTGGCTCTACCCGCAATTTTATATACCGGAAAGCAGTATATCCCGCCAAAGAAAACACTTAACAAACTCGACAACTTGCAGAAGAATTTTGTGTGGAAAGGGACGACAGGAGTAGAGTCCTCCAAGCACAAGATAAGCCCAGCTCTGGTTTAACACCCGTACAGGCGGGAGGACTCGGCCTGCAGAACATCGATCGAGCTCTCAGAGCTACAAGATGTAACTTAGCAGAAAGATGGATCAATGGAGATGATGACGTGTATAAAGCAGCATGGCACTCAGTGGTGCACCCGGGAGTAACAGCTAGCCCGCATTGCTGCAGCTTCCGCCCCACAACCGACGAAATGATACGTAAAACACTAATCGAAAAAAGGACTGCCCCGAATCCCGGCACAATGTCTGGGAAAATTGGAGTTATGGGAAGCCCAAAATCAAACCATACGGACAATGATACCCATTCAAAAAAACCATCAACAACAGCAGAATCAAGCAAGACGTACACCTCATGCTACTGGACGGATGACGAAACTCCGGGATACTCGACAACAGCGGACCCGTGGAATCGACAACTTCCACCGGACGCAAGCTTCCTACTGCACTCGCCGTGGGATGACAACGCTGTACTCGTCGACAAAACAGGCAGACCATTACGACAAAAAGATTTTCCGATGATTAAAACGTGCACCATCCAAGACATCGTCACCTTCAGTGGCCGTGATTACTACGACTACGGCATTCACTGTATAAAAATCAAACCACGATTGGCAGACCGAGACAGCAGGAACAAATGCCCCCCAAAAATCCAGAATTGGTGCAGCAGTGTTCTCCAGAGTATCCCGTGGAATTTGCGGAGCTTGCAAGACGAAACCCCGAAACCCTTTGCACTTCCAAAACTTCAGCAACGACTTCACTGGACCCTGCAAGAAATAGGAGAGACACCAGTTATTGCAGCCAGCACTGTCAGCCCTGCAGGACCTCCAGCTTTCCACGTGACAAGAGGAAACGATGGATGGTTATGGAGAACGACATGGGTAGATGAAGATTCTCACAAAAGGTCAGACTACCAGGAAATACAAGCCTGGATGCGAGAAGTAGGAATTAGTTTTATAGCAAACCCCCGAGTGTGCACGTACCCATGGAAGGCCCACCCTGATACCAATGCAATCCACATTGCGAAGGCGTTGCGAAAACAGCGCACGAAACGAGCCAAGCTACACAGCTACTACAACTTGACCCCCATGATTGACAAGATAAAGACCAGAGCAACGAATTCACCATGGGGACAAGCGGCACTTCAACAAAGCCCGGCTCAACTATGGAATCGCGACGGACTCTACACAGACTACCAGAATTGGACAATCTACCGGATAGCATTGGGAGTGCTCAATTTGAGACACAAAGGATGGTCACAACATCGACAATGCCCCGACCAACAATGTCAGTGTTTGGAAGAAACCATTGACCACCTCACCTGGGACTGTGCCAAAGCGAGGGCATCCTGGGCAGCGTGGATCAATTCATGGATGGGTGAACAATGCACCGACAACCAAGTGCAGCAACTCCGAACAGTAGTAGCTAGCCGGAAAGCGCCGCCGATATCGATAGCATTCCTATCCATTGCACACCATTGCATTGGCAGATGGGCATATCAGCATACGGCTGCAATGCAACTACTTTGGCAAATCTGGTCGACTACAACCCCGGCAATACTGTAGCGACTCCGAGCTAATGCAGTATTGAACAACAAACACAGCAATGCAGAAGTGACAAAAGCCGCAGTTCAAACGGCAGGAACCTACCAAGTTTAAGCAATAACGAGTGCATGGAAGCGAAACCCTGCGAAGAAAATCCAAGGGATGTGTCTCGATACTTGTCAACAAATTATGAAGACCGCAGCCCGAAACCCAATGCCCACAAGTGTCAAGGCATGGATTCTTGACGCTGCCTACATAAAAAACGAACAAGGAAACTGGGAAGGAGGATGGGTCTTGTACTCTCATCATAGTGATACGACATGGGAAGCCATTCGAGCCGGCAGCATGAGCATCGATCAGCAGCATAACCAACTTGAAGTGGTCGGAAAGGTGATTCTCAAAGGAATTAAAACTTTAACCGCAGTGGCAGCGCTGCAGCAGGTATTCTTACGCATCAATACCCTGGACAAGAAGATCAGAAAACAACTGGATAAGGAGAACAACCAACTGGAATCATTGCGTCAAACCCTGAATAATCTCTTTGGCATTCTGTGGGAACAACCATCTCAAGCGAGGCTCAAAGCCGCGAAATTTCTGGCTACGACAGGAATAAACCAAGATTTAGACCTGCAGAACAACAACCACAGCACAATCCATGAATGCATTCGACAAACGGTGCCGCAACATTATGCGAGTGTTGCGGACACCCACAGACAGACACAAGGCATCGTCGCGCGTACTACATTTCAGGCTTCTATAGAAACAAAACATAATGAAAACCAAATAGAAGGCCACTTCAAACCCATGATTATTCTGTCGCTGAACAGCACGGGCGTCTTGCTGGGCACCGCCCAGACCGCAGTGTACTCGTGCTACCGACTGGACAAGTCGATCGCCGCCCAAGAAGAAGCGTCCGTAATCGCTGACAAGGAGATTTCAGTTGCCATCTCGCCCAAGTTGTTAGCGTCACCGATTGATAAGACGCGAGCTTAGTTAAGAAGGCTATCGGCGTCGATCAGTTGCAAACGCATAAATGACACCGAAAGTGTACTATCGAAAGCTACTGTAGTATTGGCCTCAGTTCCTGTGCGCTGTTGGGGACAACATCATCTTGTAGGCTGCGCTATGAATGGACACAGCCTCGCTCTTAGTCTCAGCCGTAGGGGTGACTTCGAGAACGGAAACCTCGTCCGCAAGTTCAGCCGCTTCATATGGTATTAAATCTTCGTCGCCTGGTGGTCGGTAGATCATGTAGAACACGATCTGGACGACGCTCAGTAACGAGCCGATCGAGTTGAGGCCGGCAACGAAGTAGTCGCGGTCCACCATCCCGGAAACCACCCACAGTGTGGTCGACACGAAGAGCATGAGGCTCAGGTTGATAGGGATCGAGGCGGCAGACTTTGTCTCCAGCTCGTGCTTGAGCGTGCCCAGCGGAGATGCGAACATCCAGACGTCGATGATGATGCCGACGTAACCGAGATACGTGTCGACCTCGGAATCCGACTGGTCC